CAGAGCAGCAGCTCATTAAACGGTTTTGGTAGATTTTGGATGCGTTTCTGCCTCTGACCGGACTCTCCCCCCCCCCCCCCCCCCCCCCCCCCCCAGCTCCAGGGCAACATCTTCGCGGGCTTCGACGAGTCTCTGCTGCAGAGGGCCGAGGCTCTGGCCGCCGTGGACATCGTGGCCCAGAAGAGCCACCCCTTCAAGCCGGACGCCACCTACCACACCATGACCACGATGACCAGCATGACGTGCACGCCCACCTCCTCCTCCGCGCACCTGCACCACCCGTCCGTGCTCACGTCGCACCACCACCCGGGCCACCACCAGCCCGCGCAGGGCCTGGAGGGGGACCTGCTGGACCACCTGACCCCCGGCCTCTCCCTGGGCGGGATGCCCGGCGCGGACGTGTGCTCCACGGCCTCGCACACGGCGCACGCGGCCGCCCACATGTCCGCCATCAACCACATGCAGCACCACCACCACCACCCGCAGTCCATGAACATGCACGCGCACGGGCTGGGCTCGCACGGCTCGCTGGGGGGCGGCGCGGGCGGGGACGCGGAGCCGGACCCGCGCGAGCTGGAGTCGTTCGCGGAGAGGTTCAAGCAGAGGAGGATCAAGCTGGGGGTGACCCAGGCGGACGTGGGGGCGGCCCTGGCCAACCTGAAGATCCCCGGGGTGGGCTGCCTGAGCCAGAGCACCATCTGCAGGTTCGAATCCCTCACGCTGTCGCACAACAACATGGTGGCCCTCAAGCCCATCCTGGAGGCCTGGCTGGAGGAGGCGGAGCGCGCGCAGCGGGAGAAGATGTCCAAGCCGGAGATCTTTAACGGGGGGGACAAAAAGAGGAAACGTACGTCCATCGCGGCCCCGGAGAAGCGCTCCCTGGAGGCCTACTTCGCCGTGCAGCCTCGGCCCTCGTCGGAGAAGATCGCCGCCATCGCGGAGAAGCTGGACCTGAAAAAGAACGTGGTGCGCGTGTGGTTTTGCAACCAGAGACAGAAGCAGAAACGGATGAAGTTCTCCGCCACGCACTAAGACTCTGCCTCGTTTCCAAACAGACTAAGATTAGTTCAGACTAATGAGAAATAGGCCGCTGCGGGCTGTCAGAAGAAAAAGGTACTCCGTTGCGCCTCCCGGACCGGGACGCGCGCGCCAGGGCCCCGTCCGCGCGCTCAGAAGTGCCCGGACAGTCCTACCCATCTCACTCTGAGTCCAACAGCACGGGACAGATGCTTTTGTTCATCGGACAAAAAGATAAATTATTTTATTTCAAGAATATTTTAATTAAATTATTGTTGCAAAAACAACAGGTTAAAAAAAAAAAAAAAACAACACATTTTCTGTGTTATAAAGAAAAAAGGAGTAGCCTAAATATGATTTGACATTTCAAAGGTGGAGCAGCATTTTTTGCACCGGTGCCTGAGATGCATTTGTTGACCTGGTCCTCCAAAAAAAGTATTGACACGCGCTTTTGCTTCTGAAGCAAACGCAAACAGAAAAAACGTCTTTTGGCTGTTGCGCTGGTGCTCAAAGTCACCGGAGGCGCGTGAGGACTGCTCACGTGGTTGTATCACCACCGGATACAACGGTGTACCTTCTTTTATTCTGACAGAGGAGTGGGAGGACAGAAAAAGACTGCAAACCCTCTCCGAAAACTCAGTATGCTCCTCCACCGAACAGAAAAAAGGCTGAAAGGAGGATCTGTGCTCTGTTCTGTTCATTCATATGGCAATTATTGTACAAAAATAAGAATAATGACGGGCCTGGAGGAATGACGACAATTATTCTCTCTAGCCGTTATATATATATATGTATATGTATATGTATACATGTATGTATATATATATATAATGTAGATATTTGTGAATATGTTGCACCTCTTTGTGTGGAAACGCTCATTGACATGTTCTGAATTCTCGCTGTGTTCAGGTCAGTGTTTCTTCAGTAGTTTGGGGGAATGGACCAGACTATGAGTTTGAAAATGGAAGAAAAAAAGGAAAGAAACAATTTTTTTTAAAAACGTCGGTCTGTGGCCAATTCATGAGGCTCAGTATCTGTAATCCATTGCATGGTTTACTCATTTGTGGGAGGGGTGTTTTTCTGGCTCTTACCGAAAAAAAAAGGAAAAGAAATCAAAACAGAAGCCCTCAAATTGAATGCAAGAGGAAAAACACACACAACACGCACGAATACACACAATTACACGGTTTAGCTGTGTGTCTACCTCATTACGCAAGTGTTGGCACGCTCATGGCGACTCAAAACTTCACGCTCGTTAAAAAAAAAGAGGAGTAAGAGACAGTTTTGACTTGTTTTTAACGTGCTCTTTCTGTTCTGCCACTGAGTTCATGGTGAATTAGGCTTAGAGAAATTCACTGACGTGTAAATCTGTTCTATGTTCAAGTTCACTGCAATGATGCTTTGACAATCAAATTATTATTAGTAGTATTGTTAATATTCATATCGTCCCCTGTTTGTCCTCATGGAATCAGATGGTTTTTACTGGTATTATTATCCTGATCACTGACACCTTTGTAGAGCGCACTTTGTAGATATTCTGATGAAGGGAGCAAGTCAGCCTTATCTATACCTATTTTTCAACACTTCCGAGAAAATGTTCCCATTTTATTTTTTATCTCGTTCCCTTTATTTATTTGACCTTAATTTATTTGGAAGAAAAACGACTTATTTCATTTGTGAAGGTGTGCTTTAAATGTGTCTGTGTAAGCGACAGAAGCTTAAATAAAATGTGCACGTTTTACCTGATCTTCTTTCTTTGGTCCTAAAAATACTTTTAAGGGTTTTAAAAGGTCTTAAAAAGGTGACATGAAACTAACTTTTGGTTCTCTTCTTTTTATGAATAATTTCCAACTTGCCACAGATCTATCTTGTTGTGCTGGCTGGTGTTAATCTTTTTCTCTTAGATTAATGGACCATAGCAATATGAGCTTCCAGCCTCAACGGCCTGTGTGTGTTTCCGTTTCTCGGTTACCGTGCGCGTTTGCGCACGGCGGGGCGCGCATCTGTTGGTGTGAAACGGGAGAAGGCTGGAGGTGAAGCAGCTCCGTCTGAAAGCTGCTGCCCAGCGGTGATGAATGGGATTTGATATTTGAGTGACTCCAATATTGATCAATTGTGTTGCCTATGAAGACTACACGGCTCTATCACGCCATATCTGATGAGTTCACACACAGAAAATATTCTAAAAGAGAAAGGAACACCATGACGTATTAGTGGACCGGAACTTCCTCTTTGATAAAATGTAGGGAAAAAACTATTTCAAAGAGGGACGTTTCTTATTTCTTGGAGGTTTGCCAATGTGCAAACATCAAAGTGAGCTATATGTCATGGATTGGTCCATGGTTGTCCATTTTAAATAGCTCCAATTATAGAAAATCGAGGGAAAAAACATTAAATTACGAATTACGTGCAGAACAGAATAATAACCCTGTTGATCTGGAACTAGGAGGTTATTATCATTATCAATATTATTACTGTCATTTTCCTTATGCTTAGAAAAGGACAAGATGAACTTGTTTTATTCTTGTCATTTAAAAAAAAATCATTTATTGATTAAGATTGAATTTTTGCAGCATCCGAATATTTAAAGAAAATAAAGGTTTGCTTTTTTAAGGAATAAAATGGCTCGTACAATTAAGTGAGTGTATTGTCAATACATGAAATCAATAAAGGTTGTTTTTAGGACATAAATATATTAATTTAGCTAAACAGTACACCCTAATTATTACTGCAATCTAATTTAACTTTTTCCATAATAAAGATTTAATTACATTCAGGAAATATTTATACAATTAACAAAAGTGTTTATTTTATCTTTGAATGGTGAAGTTGTGCAGTTGTTGAGTTCATTTATCATTTAACTCCTTTAGTGTTATTTATAGTATTTCTCACATTAGATGAAATTTACAGAAGTTTTCACAGGAGTAAACAGCAAAAATAATAACCTGTGAGGTTTTATTCAGAATACACCACATAGCAAACCAGATTTGAAACACCCAAAAGTCATACCAAATTAATAAAGATCTCAGAGTTCAGTCAGAAAATTAATTTGAATGAGTTTAAAAGCAACATATGATCAATTTACAGGAAAAATAAAAAGATTCAAATTTTGCACAAACTCCAATTCTGACCACAGAATCTTCCATTTTTTTGCTTATTCAAAAAACAAATCTTTTATGACACGTGCAGATATTCTTCCTACCCATAATGTCACCTGTGATTAGTTAACAGAATCTATAGGAAACCTATCATGCAAAAATAAGGGTCGGAATACAAATCAGCATGTTTGATTCCAGGGAAATTGTTCTATTACATATAAAATACATAAAACATGCACATACAGAAACAAAAGAACAATATATTCTCTTCCCAACTGTCTGACTCAGCAGGTGGTTTGGGTCCATCAAAGCATTATTAATGAATAATAAATATTAACTGTTATGATACTATTGATTTCTGAGTGTGTTTGTTAAGAAGCTGCATTTATCTGCAGCACAGCAGCAGCTCGGGTCCAGATCCCCTCAGAGGGACTCCACACCGGCCGGCCTTTAAAGGAGAGGATCTTAAACTGGAACCCAGGGACACAACACCCTAATAACCAACAGAAACAGATCATTATGGGCTTCTACAGTTCTGGTGATACCTTTCAATTTAAAACACCCATAAACAGAAAACTGCAAAACTGTGTGGATCAGGAATTGAATTGACCTTTTTGGATATTTGGGATATTTTTCTTTTTTAGTGTACAAATAAACAATGATTTATAACATTCTCATAAACTTTCCTTCTATTGAAATATTCACATTTATTCAGCAAAAAGTAAATAAGATAGAAAATATAAGAATAAACAAAAGAAAAATCCACTTTTTCAAGAGCAAAAAAAACTGAATGATATCCAGAAAAGCTACATTGACTGAATAGTTTTCTATAGTAGTATATGATATATGACATATATCCACTCACCAGATTTATATTTCAAACAG